ATAAATGCCTAGTTGACCTAATTAGATAATTTTTCAGCTAGGATGGCAAATGACTACTTCAAAAGCTAGAAATGCTTTGATTACATTTAAAAACAAATAAGCAAAAGAACAGAAATGAACTGCTAGTTTCAATTAAAACCAGGCTGGTAGAGTTTGCAGCCTTAATGTGCTATGAACTTCCTATATCCATTTCATAAAATTAAAAAAGAAAAGAAAACCTACACCAAAATCACATGCCAAGAGCAAAGTGGAATGAAACCATATAAAGTATAAAGTTATCATTACATTTAGAGAGATTAAAATCTAATTTAAAATTTTAATTTTTGAGGCAAAACACAAAGTTCCTTCAAAAATTAATTTATAAATCCTTTTTTCTCTACTTATATAATTAGAAACAATTTGATCTTTGATTATAGCTGATATTTTTTCTTTTGTTATCGTCAAAATATTTAAAATCACAATGATTTTTTAAAATGATCACTCAAAGAAAGATGGAATTTGGTGTCCAATATTTTAACTGAATATTTTAAATGTGAGAAGTTTAGTACAATTTTAGTACAACACACGTCATAAAGATCTAAGCCAGCCAAATAATTAATAGGTCACTTAGGCACTATGGGCAGTTGACTAGGTAGTTAAAGGATGTCTTGAGGTTGGAATGACCAAACTTAATCTTGGGTGGCTCTCCAGATGTCTTAATAAGAGTAATATCCACCACAGTCCCTTAATTAAGTAAACTGGGGCCAAAGAAACTTATAATAGTTTTAATTCTTTCAAGCCACCATTTCAATTCTATGCTTCATTAACCTCAGCTGATTACAGAACACAATGGAAACTCATCTGAGGCAGCCCAGGATGGAAAATAGCAAATACTAAGGAAAGCAGGTAGCAACCCCAGAATACCAGCCCAAAATGTCTCCAAGGTTAGGACAAGTGCTGAGTGCGATTGCTCATTTGTCCCCAAAAGATAAGCCTTTCTGTGGTAAAGTGGAAAAAACAAGTGACCAATAACCAGATATCTGTGTTTTAATTTCAACTTTGACATTAATTAGCTGACTGACTTTAAATTAATCACTTAACCTCTTTGAGTCACAGTTTCCTCATCTGTATAACAAGGGAATTAGAATGAGATGATTTCTAAAGTCCTTTTCAATTCTAAAATTCTGAGACTATGAACCTTCTTATACCCTATGACCTGATGTCATATCGGAAAGAGGAATTAGAAAGCAGTTTCTCATTTTTATTAGTTGAAATAAGAGGCAAAGGTGATAAGGAGGCTTCTTTATTCATAAGTCATGTTTACTACTAGATCTTTATTAGTGTGACTACTTCATCCCATGAAAATATTTAATCCAGTGAAGTGATCATGTGTATTCAAATTTGCCCTATTCGAAGTTATAATTTATGTAAAATATATTAATTGGTTCCAGCCCAATAGAAACTCACAGTGTGAGTTTGAATAATGTGGGTACTTCATGGGATTCATTATTTGCATTAACTGGGACCTTGCTGTATCAAGCATACATTTTAAGAGATCTTCAAGTTGTATGTGGATATCAAGATGACTCATCACCACCATCTGCTGGCCAATGTGCTGAACATTTATTTTAGAGAAGAAGAAGGGACTCATAAAACTGTTTTAGCTATAAATTTTCATTCCTCAAAATATCTGAGGCTGGAAAATCATATCCACTAACTTTGATCCTTTCATAAATTATTATTTTCAGTTAGGTTCTTCCAGGATTTCCTACAATATTCTTCAACTGGAATTAAGAATTTGATAAACATTCTTTTCCAGGTAAATGTTAAACTTTCATTAATTTTATATCTATCTGTATTTGCATATAGATAGTTAAACAGATACACCTATACACACATTCTTGAGCCAAAGTTCTATTCAGATGTTTCATTGTGGTACACGTTTGACCTTGGGATCTTTGAATGTTACATCAGGGGAACACAAGCTCTTATGTAGATCTTACCGAGTTATAAAAGTTTATTGACAGACTGATGTCGATTATTAAAGGACAAGTCTATCTAAGTTTGAAGAGTCTCTGGTGATGAATGTTTTGATCACAGCAACTCACAAAGAATTATCTCCCTACGAAGTCATAGAAGGATTGAGCTATGCAGAGATGGAAGGAATACTAACACCAATGTGGAGCTGGGAATTGATTCTGAAAGACAACTTAAAGTCACTAAAAATAAACTACTAGGATTATACCTCAAAGAGATAAAAAGGACCTATATATCTAAAAAATATTTATAGGAGTTTGTTTCTTAACCTCAACTAGAAACTAAGGGGGTGCCCCACCTAATGGTGGGGCTAAACATATTATTTGAATGTCATAGACTATTACTACAACATAAGATGTAATTAAATGGAATTTTAGGGAAAATTGGGGAAAACCTCTATGAACAGATGCAGGGAGAAGTGAATAGAAATAAGGGATCAATTTATCTACTAACAACATTACATAGAAAAACAACTTTGAAAACTTCAGAACCTTGATCATTGCAATGATAAATCATGAGTCCAGAGAACTAATGATGAAATGTGCTACCCACTTCCTGCCAGAAAAGGGACAGACCTAACATTCAAAAGGAGACATAGATTTTTGGACATGGCCAATGTGAGAATTTGTTTTTCTAGACCAGTGGTGTCAAAATCAAATAGAAACTGGGGGTCACTAAACCAGAATCAGGATTCCTGTAGGCTGCATTACTGATGTTATTTTTGTTGATCAATCACTTTTCAGTCATGTCTGACTGTCTGTGATCCCATTTGGGGTTTTCTTGGCAAAAGTACTGGACAGGTTTGCCATTTCCTTCTCCAGCTCATTTTACAGATGAGGAAATTGAGGCAAAGAGGGTTAAGTGACTTGCTCAGGGTCATACAGTTAGTAAGTGTCTAAGGCTGGATTTGAATTCAGTCCTGGCAGTCTATCCACTGTGCCACCTAGCTGCTCGTAGAAAACCACATATTAATATTACCTATGCTTTGTTGTATTTTTATTTATTCTATTAGCATTTTCCAATTATAGTTTAATGTGGTCATTGTATGTTTGATACCTCTGATCTACATTATGCATGTTTATTATGAGGGTTTTCTTTTCTTTTTTAAGTGAAGGGGCCAATGGGAGGGAGTAATACTATTTATTAAAACCATCAACATCATAAAAATTATTGATCCTTAAAATATTGAAGTAATAATAGTACTGTATTCCATTGCTGCTGGGAGAGTGTTCTGTGTTGTTTGGGTTGCAGAGAAAGGGAGAAGGGAGACATACAAAAGTATGTCTATTGTTTTTGACTTTTATAATGAGAGAAATTCCAAAAATATTACTAAAGGTTCTTGAAAAAAAGATATAAAAGGTAATGGTATAGCAGAAGATTTAGCTATGGGATATCTGTAGAGTAATACAGAAAATCCACTGAGTTTCAGTAACTGGATTAGCATTTAATCAGCTAAATTATACACACATACAAATACATACATACATATATGTATATGTATCATTGTATACAGAATATGCAGTGAGGATTTTTTTATGTTGGACTGGACCTGTTGTTCAATTGATATAGGGGGCTTTCAGTGAGAAACTCCTACCAATGCAGATGGCCACTTTCTCTACAACTTGCAATCTTTCAGAGTTGTCTGGGGCTACTGAGAGGCAGCTAGGTGGCTCCATGGATAGAGATCCAGGTCTGGAATCTGGAAGACCTGAATTCAAATCTAGCTCCAGATACTTATTGTGTGACCCTGGGCAAGTCACTTAACCCTTGTTTGTCTCAGTTTCCTCATTTGTAAAATGGGGATGATGGTACTTCATTTGTATAACAAGGGAATCCCAGGGTTGTTGTAAGTATCAAATCTGATTATATTTTGCACAGTGCTTGACACATAGTAAGCATTATATAAATGTCAGCTGTTATTATTAAGTGACTTTCCTGAGGTCACATTGGCATGTATGTGTCAGAAGCAGGATATGCATCTAGTTCTTTCTGACTGAGGCCAACTCTCTATCCACTACAACACAAAGGAAAATCTATCAAACACTCCAGGTTTTTCTGGAAGTGGATAAGGTACAGAGCTTACCTAGTTTCAGCTTTAAGGAACATTATCGAAAGGGTCAGGGAGGGTGGGAAAAAGAAGGAAAACAACATCTACAGCAAGAGTTTTCATGTGGAGAACTCCTGGCTTAGAACCGTATATGGAAACATACATCTATAGAAAACCAACTGTGATAGCGGTGTCACATCCATGGCCATTAGGTAACAAGAGAAGAGAGTGAAATTTGGGAAGAGTGAATATTACCATGACTGACAGGGTTGGCCTTGGCAGATTTTACTGAACAGGTTACTTTTTCAAGGTGGGGGGTGGGATTGTTTGGTGAAGTAGAAGGAGGAAAGCACGTCAAGCAAAGAAAATGTACTGGCAATTATTCATAGCTAAAAACAGGTGGAGTGTGAAAGGTACACAGTGTGATGGTTGGCTTCAAGTGAGTGGGGCCCAAACTTTGATATAAATGTAGATGAGAATAGTTGGGTAACTAGGAAAGCCAATTGATAGAGGTCCTGAATACTGGGAATTTGGGAAGTCATTGCCATGTTATAAGAAGTAGAATAAAATCACCTAAATTACATTTAATGAGGTTTCTTCTTAATGTTTTATATAAGGATTGGTTGGAGTGACAGAGAAAGGATGGAAGAAAAGAGGCTAGAATGGAAGTTGTGAGGAGGATGGCCATTTAGTGCATAGATGAGGACTATGGAAAGGAAGAGGTATTAAATGATGTAACATCTTGATTCAAAATAGCTTCCAGCTAATATTCTAACAGGTAAGAAATTAATTTTCTACCTACATTTGTGAAGACTCTATCTACCATAAGCAAAAATGGTCTAGTATCCCAAAAAAGTTGTAATCTTTACTCCAGTAGTCTCCTATAAGAGAAGATGGAAATTTCCTGAAACAAAAGGTAAAATAATCTGACACATACCTTTTCAATTAATTCATAACTCTCTTCCAGTTTTAGCAACCTGTTTTGTATAGCACTTGAAGCTCGCTCATATACTGAACGCCATTCTTGAAAGTCACTTTCTGAAATCTCAGCCACTGCAAAACACAAAGTCCTTAACCCTGAAAAAAATCAACAAGGACACTGATCAAAAGATGGTTTTCTTAGGAATTATGATATTTTAATTTTTAAATTTAGCTACTAGTTACAAAAGCTGAATTTATTTTGATGACATAAATTTAAACAGCTTAGATGTAAATAGTTTTTATTGAATAATATTATTTTTAAAGTCCTTTAAGAGATTTCATATTTATACTTTTTCACCACTCTTAATATGTAATTAACAACCTTCATCAGAAAGAAAGATTCTATATATTAATCTCAACCCCTCCTGCTGAATCATAATTCTACTTTTTCTTGTTTTCTCATTAGAAATGGTTAACATTTGTTTACCATTGTTTGTTTGCTGACCCTTATCATAGTGACTGCAACTAGGTATTGTCTCTTCATGTTAGATAATTCCAGGTCTTTCAGTCTTTCTTAGGAAAGATGGACAGTTTGGTATTGTGCAACAGGCATGACAAGACTCAGTTTTGTCGCAAACTAGCTTGGGTAAGTCATTCAAATTCTCTGAGCCTCAGTTTCCTCATTTGTTAAAAAGGAATAGCAATACTTGGCCTGGAGAAATTTTAGGTGAATTTGCTTTATAGACTATTAAGCATATGTTACTAATAGTTGTTTTGGTACTTTGAATGAGCCATAATTTTTCTGGCTTGCATAATTGCTATGAGGACCTCAGTAACCTTTTAACTTTGCCAAATAAAAAAGTTAGGGAAGCCCAAATCCCTAGTTATGAGGCCAGGTCAAATCATGCCTAGGGTAGTGCCAAAAGCCCCCTTTCCCACTGAGGAGTCTGAATACTAATTAACCTGACAATTCCTCAGGTGTTCCCTCAGGAATTAGCATCAATCCTCAAACCATGACCTCATTAGGTCCAGGCTCCATGCTTTGCACCACACACTTAACCACATATCTGGTCCTGATCAACCCAAGGAAGAGCCCTTCGTAAAACCTGCAATGATTTCCTGGTTTTGGCATCCCTTTCCCTTGGGCACCTCCAGTGGATCTGACTTGCTTCTGTCCTCCCTGACTGCCCCTCATATTGTAATTATGTCCTTTCAATATGATGGCTTGCTTTCCTTCTTCTCTTGTGCTGTGTTCTATCTTGGAGTGCTCTGTTTCCCAACCATGTCAGTTTTCTTTTATAGAAACACAGGGGCTAGGACTGATAGTAGACATAGCAACCTCTACTTCCCAAGTCATGGCTCGGGGAACAGAGAATGCAAGGGCTGAGGCCAGGAACCCTGTGCCCCAACAACTGAATCTTCCTTCCTTTTCCCCAATACCAGGCCTGTGACAAAGGGCCTGCCCTGAGTCACACACTCCTCAGCTTTTTCCCTCTAGCAACCAATGTGGCAAATGAAGGAAAATGCTACCATCTCCTTACTAAATCTGCATTAAGATACTCATTCCATCACTGTAGAATGTTACAATTATTTTCTCATACAAATTTTCCTTAAATTTGTTATTTTTAAAAAAATTAAGTTTAATATTTTCAAATGCAAATATTATGCATGTTGTTGGTTAATGACAAAGTACATACTTAGTCCTTCTCTTCTCTCCACCCCCCAAAAAAAACCCAGAGGGAAAAGCAAATTGTTGATAAATTGTGGTTTAAGTCAAGTAAATGGAAACACTGAGTTGGATATAATTGTGTTTTGCCAGTATTATACTATCAACCGTAATCAAGATTTGTTTTTAGGAATCTGACAATTACACTAAAAATAATTAAATCATTAAAAATTAGCAGAATTATTACCCTGCACTTAAAAATCACACTTTATTACTTACCTTCTGTAGCAAACTGCTCTAAATGTTTTAAAGTAATTTCCTTATATTTTGAACTTTCAGCCAGACGATCATAAATTACAGTGTCCTGCAAGATAAAACAGGAGAAAATTATCATTTACTTAATTAAGTGTGCTAGTTCTACTTGATCTGGTATTAGTAAAAGCAATAACTAGCAAAACAATACTGAAAACAAACACATTTCTGAGAATTAACTTTTAATGCCTAAGTATTTTCCTTTCCCCTAAAGATAAGAGAATTTCAGTAACATTATTTTTAATATTTCCAATTTGCGTCTCAATTATTCTAATTTTCCAGCCCCCACAACTTGACAATCTGATCTTTACTCCTACATTGTTTGAGGGCTCCACCAACCCAGAATATCAAACCAGCAAAATTACTAATATTGTTTATGTATTCCCAGGATACTGGTAGTGGCTTTTATTTAAAATCTTTTCTTTGTAATACTAGTCATATTCCTCTAGTTATTTTTCTGCTTGAGTTTATTGTTTTTAAGAATTTCAGTAAATGGCCTTTTTCCATGGGCTTTATTAGGCCAAGAGCAAATAAATCATTACCTGAAATTACTTTCTCAGAAGGTACTGCCCATTTGGGGACTCTAGCCTCAGAGGTGAGATTTGAAAGCTGACTAATAGAGTTAGATTTACAGCCCTTGAGAGAAACAGAACCTTGTGACCTCAACCCAGATTGAATACTCTAGGTCCCAATTATCAATTTCTTTTCATTTCTCAATGGTAAGAAGAGGAGACAAGGGAAATGGGGAATGATGATTTCCCATCATGGCTGCCTCCCAAGAATAAAAGTTATAGTTTATTAATTTCCTTTTTTTGGAGGCAATTAATATTTTGAATGAAATTGGCAAGGGGCTTTTAAAAAACTGAAGGAATCTCTTCCATAAAATTAAAGTTTTACTAAGGAAAAAAAACTAACACATAGGAAAGGTCAGGAGAAGAGTTGACAATATGTCCAAATATTTTATATACAAGCCATTGTCTCTAAATAGAATTAATTTTCATCTGACTTCTCAGTTTCAAAAGTATTTGTAAACATATCACATTATTCAATGGTAATAGTATGTTATGTTAATTACAAAGTTAAGGAAAAACTTTTTAAATACAATACATAACAATATTTTTCTATTGTTTTGAACAATCGTTCAATAATTTTTCAAATATTTAAAGTAATATTTATATTAAGATATCAATTTCATGAGTGTAGGAATTCCCACCATTAATGCTCCATCTGTAACTTAGTAGATAACTTTAGTGAGTTGCCTGAGACTTGAAGAAATTAAGTGATTTGTCTGTGATCACATAGTTCAAAAGTTTCATAGGTGAGAAGTGAATCCAGGTTTTCCTGCACTCTATGCTCTGAACCATGCTGCTTCCAGTAATACTAGTAAACAATAGAAATGGTCCTTATTAATGATATTCGAAATAGGCAGTTTAAGTCCAGCAATCAAACAATCAACATGCATTTAGTGCTCATTATATGCCAGGCATTGTGTTAAGTGCTGGGAATACAGAGAGAAGTAAAATGTTCCTGCCCTGAAAGATCTTACATTTGAATGGAGGAGACAGCATGAGTATGATATGTATATGCATATTGTGTGTGTATTTAATAGATATGTGTAAATGTATGCTGGAGAGTGTGCATTGATAGCTGGGAGGCGTGTGTGGATCAGGAAAAGCTTCATGAAGAATTGTGGTGCTTGAGTTGAGTCTAGAAGGATCAAATGAGATAATATTTGTAAAGTGCTTTCCACAGTATCTGGCACATAGTAAGTGCTATCTAAATCAATGCTTATTCTTTTCCCTTTTCCTTGAAGGAAAACTTGGGATTATGAAATGCAAAGGTGAAAAGGGAGTGTATTCTAGGCATGAGAAACAACAAAGGTACAGAGATGTCAGTGTTCTACGTGTGAAATAATGAGGAGATCAGTATGATTAGCCACCAGAGTTTGTGAAGGGAACAGTGAAAGACTATTGGAAAGATAGATAGGGGCTAGGTTGTTAAGAGATTTAAATACCTACCAGGAATTTTATTTTATTCAAGAGGTACAAGCCACTGGAGTTTATAGAGTAGGATGGTTATATGATCAGACTTAGGAAAATCACTTTGGTAGCTATGGGGTATATAAACCATAGTAGGGGACAGGCCTGAAGTAGGAAGACCAAATATATAGTACTGGGTAAGTACAAAATATATAAGTCTGAGTAAGAGCTGATGAAGGTCAAAACTAGGGGGATGCAGTGAGAGTCAGGAGAAGAATGTCTGTCTGAGAGACATTGTAGAGATAGAAATGAAAAGATTTTGAAATTTATGGATATACGGGAAGAGGAATAGTAGGAAGTCAAAGATGACACTGTTTTGTGAGCCTATTGAATGGATGATTGGTGGTGCCTTTAAGAATAAAGTTGTTTTTGTTTTTTTGGGGGGGAGGAATGGGACAATAATGAGTTCTATCCTGGACATGTTGAAATGCTTAGGAGACATCCAGTTCAAAATGTCCAATAGCAGTTGATGAAGTGGGACTAGAGTTTAGGAGAGAAACTCCAGCTGGATACAAAGATCTGGGAGTCATATGTATAGGGAGGGTAACTGAACCCATGGGAGCTGATGAGCTCATGAAATATGAGTGAGTAAAGAGAGAGGAGGTACATAAGGTCAGATCCTTGGGGAATATCCTTAGCTAGGGAAATGACAGGGATGACGAATCAGCAAAGAACATTGAGGAGAGATCAGATATGAAGCAGGAAAACTGGGCAAGAACAGTGTCATGATAATGCAGAGAAGAGAGATTATCAAGAAAGAAAAGGTGATCAGCAATGCCAAATACTGTAGAGAGGTTAAGAAGGATGAGGACTGAGAAGAGGCAATTAAGAGGTTGTTGGACTCTTCGGAGAAGTAGTTTCAGTTGATGAAGTTGGAAGCCAGAATGCAAAGGATGATGTTGCAAATGAAATTTGATTTTCGCAGTGAGGAGAATGTGCAGAGATATGGGGGAGGCTTGGGTGTTTTTATAGGTGGCAGAAAAGGAGCAAATAAATAGGGAAAGATTAAAGATTATAGAAAGGGGACGATAGCAGGTTCATCTGTTAAAGAAGACAGGAGCATATGTGATCAAAGGTATATAGAAGGGTTGGCCTTAAAGAGAAGAAAGCTCACCTCTTCATCAGAGATTGAAGTAAAAGAAGAAATGGTGGGGGAATGATGTCAAGGGGATGTGAAATGAAGAGGTCATTCAATTTTTTTTACCAAAGTATGAGGTGAGGACCTCAGCTGAGAAGGCGGGAAGAGGAGGTCCTGTAGGAAACTTAAAGAGAGGAGGGGAGATTTGAAATAAACCATTGTAGAGTCAGCTAGGTGGTACAGTAGACAGAGCATGGGGGTTAAATGAGGGAGCCCTGAGGTCAATCCTTCCTCAGACACTCTAGCTCTGTGTCTCTGGGGAAGTCATTTAACCTCTCCGTGCCTCAGTTCCCTTATCTGTAAAATAAAGAGAATCACAGTACCTACCTCACTGGATTGTGAGGATCAAATAAGTTAAGAGGCTTTTGTAAACCTTAAAGTGCTATGTAAAACACTAGCTCCCTTCTCTCCCCCTCCTCTTTCCAAGGAGAAGGAGAAAAATGTATGATCTAATAATGATACTATTGAAAAAAATGAACAATTTTGAAAAATTTAGGAATTTTGGTCAATACAATAATCCACCATAATTCCAGAGGACCCATGTTGAAGAATGTTACCTATCTCCTCACAGAGAAACGATATAATAAATATGCAGAATAAGATAGACATTTCTGGACATAGTAATATGGAAATTTGTTTTGTTTTGCTTGACTGTTCATTATAAAGCTTTTGCCTTTTACCTTTCTGGTGAGGTGTGGGGTGTGGGGTGGATAGTTAAAAGAAAATAAATGCTTGATAACTGAAAAACATGTAATCTAAAAATTACTTTGTATTTACTTTTCTGTGTACACCTTGTATAACCCAAGGAGAATGTAAACTCCTTGAGGGAAGGGACTGTTTTTTGTCTTCATACCTCCAGTGCCTAATACAGGCTCTTGCATGTAGTAGGTTTTTAACAAACATCTATTGAATTGAACTAATGTAAACTATTACAAAGGAAAGTTAGAGCAAAAATAGCACAGACTCCAGAAATTTTAGACCTCACAAGATGCTCATATTTGTGAAGCCAATACTTGATAATACTTGATAGTACATGAATTTACATCATTATACCCCACAACAGCAAGGCTGTGCCAAAATTACTACTGATAAACTTTCTATAAAAATTTCCACCATCCCCCAATTTTCTGCTTCCCTTCTGATATTGGCTACATTCGCTTTATTTGTACAAGTCTTTTTAATTTAATATCATTGAAATTATCCATTTTGTACCTAACCTTGTCCTCTCTTGTTTACTCATAAATTGTTTACCTGTCCATAAGTCTGATAAGTATAATGTTCTAGGTTCTTCTAAATAAAAAAATTACTACTGGTTCAACTCATGCTACTTCAAAAGAGCTGACAGTCATACTGTCTTCATGAATGATCCTCTGAGAGTATGACACAGGAGGAAGAAGATGACCTTATCCCATCTGCATCCACTTTTGCCAAGGTGACAGTCTGGTATAAAGTAACTAGGATTCTATAGACTTGTTTCATCTTTGCACATGTTTTGTGCATTTTCTCTCACTTCTTCCCAATTTTTTTTAAAAACAAGTCTTCTTCACACTATTGTCCATAACATATTCAGCTTGAGAAAAGGCGTAAGGAAAAGGAGATAGGGAGCTGACATGAAAGTTAATGTTACCAATGTGGCTAGGTATATGAGTCCAAACTCTTGTTTTCTGTTCAAGGTCTTAACCCTCAAATATGGGACTTCAGACGTAGACAGCTTCAAAACTTTAACTGAAAAAACTAATTTAGGGAGGGTGACTTAACATTATTTTTTTTTTTTTCCAGAAACCTTAAGAATCTCTCACCTCTAAAGAGTGACCCATCAAAGACCTATCTTGTTTTAAAAAATTCATACGTGATGTATTAAAGGCTTTGTATACCCACTACCTAGTACAGTGCCTAGCACCTAGTAAGTTTTAAATAAATGCTTGTTTACTGACTGGCTTGCTGACTTGTCCTTGTAACAAGATTTAAATTTTTAAAAATTTTGGCAGAAGAAATCAAAAAATTATCAAACCAAATCAACTACATATCACATGAAAAATACCACAAAAATTTCCAAAATCAATAAAAAATAATCAAGTTTCAAAATATTATGTAAAAAAATTAATCTATATTTTATAGGAATCAGTGGTTTCATAATTCACTAACAGATATAAAGTAAGAAGATGAAAAAATATGGACTTCTGAACCTCAACTTAAAACTAATTATGTTTGAAAGCAAAGTTTTGGATCCCCATTTTCTACATTTTCAGAAATTTTGTAACTGTTACATAGGATTCTCGGAAAAATATTTTAAAGAGTAATAATTGAGCAGTATAATTTTCTTGTGGCCTTAGATGGGGAAGAGAGCCAGAACTATATCTTCCCAATTTTCCCATGTACATTAAAAAGAACCTGTCACTAATGTTTCAATGTCTGCTCTTATGTTTCAATACAGTATACGAGCATTCTCATGTTTTCAATGCCTATGTTAGCAGAATACAACCTCAATTATATTCATCCTCAAAAAATTAAGTGTAAAAAAATTAAAAAAATTTTTTTAAGTGAGAGTTCAATGACAATGCTTGATTGAGGACTGATCTCTCTAAATGCAGAGCTGCTTAGAGAGTTGGCCATCAGATAATTAAATCTTATTTTAGCTCCTCTAAATCATGAATGCTGTCACTGTGCAAAGAGTTGCTATCTGCATGGTGGAAGGAATACCCACATTCATGAAATCATAAATCCTTAAATTAAGTGACAAGGTATAACCAGCAAAATTCATAGGATATATATCTGATTATATTATTATTTCAACACAACCTGACAAGATACTGTAAACCATCCCAGAAACCCCAAATCTGCTATAGCCAAACCAGTAAAAGTAAAATTATAATAATATGAAGAAATTTTTCCCTAAACATAATTTTAACTACTTCGATTATAGTTGTGGTTAAAATAGTCTTTTTATTTTGATGGCCGGAAAAACACACTAAGCCTCACATTAATTTTGACCATCATATTTGTAATGAAAAAAATCAAAAAATTTAAATGTTTCTTAACAGATTTTTGCAATACAAGCATTAATATTTATGTATTAAAACTGAATTATAAAAATAACCTACCACAAATTCTTCAAAGCATTCAGTTTATGCAGAAGGAGCCCCACATTTCACTAAAAGAGGCTGGATAACATTACCACAAAACATCAACAGGAGTTGATGTCAGCGACTTCATGCTAAACATCTGTGTTAGATTTCCATCATGGAAATTTTCCCTTTTACCTAGAATATGCATTTATAAACGCTCATAAATCAAAGCTCTAACAATGCAAAATAGAACCTTACTGCTCCTTTGCAGTAGAGCCGTAACTTCCCAGATGGAGTGCGGACAATCACTGACATTCTTTTTCTGGCGCTGAAAGAAAAGAGGCTTTTCCATAATGTGCACTTATACCAGAATGTGCATAGAAATACTTGCCATGCATCACAGACTTTAATATTCACAGTGCAGAAATAAATTCGAACCAATAATGGGCCACATCCTTCCGGACAAACAAACTATTCCCCAGTAGTAAAGTTAGGCATTTTTGAAGCAACATTAAATTTTTCAAGGCACTGGGGCACAATTTACTATCTAGGAGGAATAATTTAGAAAATGGTCCTCTAGTGATCTGAAAGAGTTAATGCACCTCCCAAAATGCTACTCCTGGGGAAAAAGTTATCTCCTGTGATAAGTTCTGGTCCAGTGTTTTCAGGTCTGGCATATTTATCCAAATAAACATGTATAATAGTAGATGAATTACACATTTAAAAGAGAATGTGGCTAAAAAGGACACGTAATCAATCTGTATTTAATTTTTAAGAAAAACACTGATTAAGTTAACTACTGACCCTTAAAACAAGAACTTGGGCATTTAAAATGATCCTTCTTCAGTGACTGGAGGCAGCTCAGTAGTATCATGCAAAATCTAATTTACATAAATAAATCTGAGCTATCAAGAACAAACATTTCATCACTGTGGTTGATGATACAGATAAGCACAGTTTAATGAAAACTGCCTGCTAAATGCACAAAATGTTTCAATGCATCAATGAAGAGACAGCAAATTACACTGAGAACAGAATGGCACCATAAAAAAGATGCTAGGCCTTCATTTGGAAGCCTACATGTTCTTTTCCCACGACTGGAAAAAGGTTCTTTTATGATACAACTGCACCTAGGAGTCTCCCTTCTCCCTTGTCCACCACTCTGTTTATGAGTTTCTTATGAGCAAGAACTGTTTTGAGGTTAGTAGGATATGTTGTAGTAGTTAGGGACAGCAGTCTACTTCATACATTGATGAATGCATTTAAAATTAAGTTAATAATACATTGTTTTAGGTATTTTTATAGTAGTATATAAGAAAAGCAACTTGCTTTTCTTTTTTTCTGGTTTTTTTTTTTCCTTTCCCTTTTTGTAGGAGGAGGAATAATGGCTTCTTTTGAAGGCAAGGCACCAGCACTGCAAAGATCATTTAAGTTCTCATAGAGTTGTGAGGACAATTCTTTATAAATTATAAAATGCTACATAAATGTGAGCTGACATTACCCACACTGCCATTATCATCACTAAGAACATAATCAAAAGCATTTTTGCCTGAAATGGCTGTTTGAGTGAGAGGCAGGGCACCTAGGTCCCACATATCTATTCCTAAAGTTTGGACCTAAAACCTAAAGTTTGAACCAGGCTTAGTAATGATTAAGAAATACATTGAGAAACTATAAGTGACTTCTGCCACACCATAACTGCACAAAAAGTCAACCATAAGCCCATGGGCAGTAGGAAAGGGACCTCTACCAGCAAAATGAGCACCAGAATAGTGTATGCTACCTTTCAGGGCAATAGTACACAGGAATTGTGTGTACACAGTGTAGCCTATAAAGAATACTCTTTGTCATGAGGCAGCAAAAGCAGATGGCTCCTTCAAGAAAACCCCAGGGTGCAAACTTTAGAAGCCCTAGGAAACCTCATCAGAAGACCCTGACCAGAGCAGGATCACAGAACTCTCAGACAGTCTCAGACAGAGGTTCTTGGAGAAAGGTCACCCAGGCTTATGTACTCTGAGGTCTCAAATCCTCAGTCCTGAGATTTCAGAGAGGTCTATGAGTATTCAGTACTCTGAATTTCAAAGATACAGGGACCTCATCCCACAAAGTTAGAGGCTAGCAAGAACCCAGGGAACCTAGGATAAGATCAAATAGAATTGATCATTCTGTCCAAAAGTGCAGTAGGGGTAGAGCCTGGCACTAGCACAAAGCTTCCATTCAGGAACTAAAGCTGCAGAGATTAGTAAATCAAAGAAAACACCAAGGAGTATCAAAAATGAATGTGAATCTAGAGATTCACCAAATTATTCAACAACAATTTCTGCAAGCAGAAATTCAAAGGAAAAAAATGGATTTTCTACTAGGATGATATGAATACCTAGGAGAAATGAAGCCAAAAATAAAAGAATTCAAAGTAGAATAAGTAGCTTAGGAGAGAAAGTAAACCTTACCAAAGAAATGGAATCCCTGAAAACCAGAATAGATCAGATAGAAATCAATGATTCTAGAAGACAGAAAGAAATGTGAGAACAAAACCAAAAGATTGAAAAAAAATTTTAAATGAGATATCTGAGGTAAAAAATAAAGACCCAAAAAACAGATCAAGTAGAGATAATTAAAGAATCATTGGGATCTCTAAAAGCCATGATTTTAAAAAACAATATTTCGAGAAATCATAAAGGAAAATTGCCCAGATCTATCAAAACTCAAGGGCAAAATATAAATAGAAATGATCTACTAATCATCTCCTGAAAAGAACTCCAGAAGGAAGTCTCAAGAATATCATTGCCAAAATTTAAAATTCCCATGTCAAAGAAAAAAAAATATTGCAGGTATCCAGAAAGAAAGGAATAGTTCAAATATCAAGGAATTACAGTCAGGATCACACAAAACCTGGCAGCTTTCCCTAAAAATGAGGAGATCTTGGAACATAATGTTCCAAAAGGCAAAGGGGATAAAGTTGCAATCAAGAATAAATTGCCAGCAAAGCTGCAAACAATTACACAAGGGGAAACATGGACCTTTAGTGGAATAGAGGACTTTCAAGTATTTATTACAAAAAGACCAAATGGAGAAGGAACTGTGAAAGATAAACATGAGTCCTGAGAAACCAGAAATGCAAGTTTGTTTCAGCAAACTGGAAGAAGCTATATAATTTGTCATAACTGGATGAGAAGAACATATAAACATGGAAGAAAGCATGGAGGAAGTGGGTACTGGATGAATCTCACTTTTTATCTGAAGTAGACAGAAGAGGGTTGAACCCAAATGCACAAGTTTGGTGTAGAAAACCATCAGACTCAACAGGGAAACAAATGGGGATAGGAAGGGGAAGGGCTAAGAGAGAAGATGATACTGGGGAGGGAATAGTTCCATGTCAAATAACCTTCCTGATCTTGCAAGAAGCAACTAAAAAGCAGAAAAAAGAACTAGAATCTAAAAGGGTGACTTAGCTTGCCTCTTAGGTAATTAGGGATTAGATTGTGAAATTGTGGTATATGAACGTAATGGAATATTATTGTGCCATAATAAAAGACCAAAGAGAGACTCTGAGAGAATCCTGGGTTGTATGAACTGAAGCATAAATGAGAAGAACCAAGAGAACAATTTACGCAAAGACAATGATGTGAAAAATAACCATAAAAGACTTAAGAACTCTGATCAATTCAACTACCAACTATGTTTCCAGAGGAACTATGAATAATATTACCTATCTGATGGAGAGGTGATAGACACAAGGTACTGGCCACATATTTGGACATGGCCACTGTGTGGATTAATTTTGCTTGACTTTGATAATTTATTACAAAGATTTTTTTTCTTCTTTTTTTCTCTTGGTTTATAGTTGGAGAAGTGGGGTTGGGAGGAGGAGGAAGTTAGTAGTAGTGATACTAGAATAAAAGAGTGTCACCTATATTTTTTTTAATCCACAGAAGGGACAAAAAGAAGCCCAGATAACTAGGGCAGTTTTGAAAGTTAGTGTGTAGAATTTTTAGAAAAAAGCAATCTCTATGAAATGGAGAATCACAGTTTCCTATAGAATCCTCTTTTTTTCTGTTGTGTATATAGAAAAGCTCGTTTTTCATGTTTAGAATAATTTATTTCCTAAAAAGTTAATGAATTTGAATGAAAAAAAAAGTAATCAGAAAAGAAGTATTTATCTCCTTTTGACAAAGCACAACTACCTAGTGCAGTTATCTTAGAACAGAGGAAATCATTTCTGAAGATCTATTTACTTAACTATATAGATAAATATAATCACATGGGAATGAAGAAACAAGTCACAGAAATGTTATTGATCAATGTAGAAGGGATAAAGTAAACAATTACTTTAGAAAAATTTAAGTAGAAACAGAGTTAATTAATTTTCTAGTTGTTTATCCTCTTTTAGTTGGCCATTGATCTCTGGACCTACTAATGATGCAGAATGGAAAAATTGTCTAAAAATATTTATCCCAAATCCTATTCTGGCACACTTTGAAATGTGCTGCCTATGACTATCACCTAAAGATATGTCTATCAACTTTCATAGACAAAATTTAAATGTTTTAAAGTAAGTCTAAATTCAGTTAAACATAAACTGGAACTCATTATTAAAACATTTAAATAAAAATAAGCTTTGATAAATCCTATACATAAGTGAATTTAAAAAAATAATGAAAAAAATCAATGGAATAGGTGTTTTACCTGGTAAACTCCAGGACATTGAGTAATTCATATCTTTCTTCCTGTCCAAGCTAAGAGGGAAAGAAAACCCAATAGCATTAAGAAGTTGTCTTTTTTGGCTTTTGTATAAAATGTAGCATTAAAATTATAATTATGCATTAACACAGAAAATGTTAACATAAATATGTTCTCTTTTGAAATACGTTTTCTTAACATGAACTTACAGAATCTATGATGACTGAATCAGGTGTTCTTCCAGTGAAAACAAAATTCAGCTGTTTCGCAGCTCTGACCAGGGCTCCTTCATCTGTTTCAAGAAAACATTTGATATTAGTGATTACCATGGAAGCTGTGGAGAAATGCTGTGGTTTAATAGACAGAGGGCTGGCTTTAGATTAAGGAAGACCTGGGTTAAGCTCTAGCTTGTAACATGTAATGGCCGGTTGACCATGGGCAAGTCCAGTTCTTGGTACACCTTAGGAGGTTAATAAAAGCTTGTGGTTGACTTAAGTTTTCAGTGTCATAGGCACCTCTCTAAAGTTTATAAGCACATGGGTCGAAGTGGCATGGCGGATAGAGGGCTAGACTTGGAGTCAGGGCTATCTAAGTTCAAGTCTGGTTTCAGACACTTACTAGCTATGTGACCCTAGGGAAGTCACTTAACCTCCTTCTGGTTCAGTTTAACAGCACCTGCTTCATAGGGTTGTTTTGAGGATCAGATATGTAAAAGACTTTGCAAACTACTTAAAACACTGTAAAAATATTAGCTATAATAACTTATAGAGGACTGATCTGTCTGAATCAATGGAGGGATTTTATATATGGGGAACTTGACCTCAATGAAATCACACATTTGAAGAAAAAAATCAAAATAATGATAAGAAACAACAAATACACTTAAAAATTAATATATTATGGAACCATATGGATTGACCAATATGTTAATATAAAAAGAGATTCTAATAAATTAAATATTTTTAAAATTAACCAAATATTAAGCAAAAAATCCTTTTTTGGTCAATTTTTGTTCTTGAAAATCTATATAAAATATATCTTGTTCTCACCTTAATAACTACTATATATTGCACATAACAATCTTTGGTGTTTGAGAATCTCTTAGGACTTTGGAGTCATCACTTTGAAAATGGACTGTTTGTTCCTGGGGTTATAGAATGTGTATCATATGGCCTTATATATAGTAGGTGTTTAATAGATGTTGAATTAATTTGGAAATGTGGGCTGGATATATTAATGCACCCAAAATATTTTCTGGGTTTCTGCTAATTGATGCTATCTCATATTATAATAACATCATGGCATAGTTGAAAGGGCATTGTTCTGAGAGTCATAAGACCTGAATTAAAGTGTTGGCTTTGCTATTGACCATGTATGATTTTGGGCAAGTCACTGTTTCTAACCTCGTTTCCTTATATGTAAAATTAGAAAATTGGACCAGTGGATTTGCAAGATCTTTTCTAGCTCTGACATTCTAATGATTTATCTCTTTGGTCACCTAAAGCGCATTTCTTGACCAGTGGCTTTAGAACTGAAGCTTGATCAATGAATACACTGACTAAAATGGCAACACTAGAATGAAAATGTAATATTAAGGGAAGGGAGCAAGCATTTATTAAGAGCCTACTATGTGCCAGGCTCTGTGCTAAATGCTTTACAACTATTTAGCCTGGAAACTATGGAATATGACAATATTTTAAAGGGCGCTAGTTTATTTTATGGAGTTTTATAAATCACCCACCATGTCAGTGTAGAACATACTATTCTCCAGACTGCTTTCTTAGAGTTTTGTGTTCGTAAGACTGGCAATGTAACCAGTTTTAGATTTAGAGTACTACTAAATCTTGAGTTACTCATTTGGTACCTAAGCTCTCAGTGACTACTAAATCACTATAATAAAAGCAACATCAACAAATTACCTTGATAATCTTTTCAAATGATCTAGTCTCTTCTCACTGAAACTAAGCTTAAAATACAAATTATTTGCTTAAAAACTCCACAATGGAAAGAGATGCACATGAGGACTGATTACTCTTGGGCAAGCAACATTTTCTTCCCAAAAGTTTTCTTGCACTGCCAGTTTATTACTCTTACCTTAAGTCTAGCTATTCATAAAGAAGGAATAAATAGCACGCTTATTGTTGCCTGTGTATCAGAAATTTTTTTCATTTTAGTGTTAAATTCATTATTTTGGACACTATATATAAAAACTGAACATAAAAGTTATGTGTTTCATATTATCAATTGTTTTAATTGGGTGAAAGCTTCCAAACTATGAAACAGAGTCTTTTAGTCTGCATAAAGTAGATTCTATTAGACAGTGATTATCTTATTTTTAGAAATGATATCAGTTCACTTTCGGAAAATAAATGTTTGGATAATCCTAAATCCTAGGAAATAAGATTTTATTTTCAAAAAGAACAATTTTCTAAGGTGAAAGTCCCAACAATTACTTAGTTGTTACCTGGAGATGCTGCTTGGTAAATAATCTTATCACCTTCTCGTTCTGGTACTGCTGTATGACAGACAGCCATCATTGTAAGAAATTCACATATAATTGGTGCAGTTGGCTAGAGAGAAAAGAGCAAATAAATAAAGCTGCTTATTATTTAAGTGTTCTAACTAACTAGTGATAGCAACATTTCCATCTTATGTCTTTCCCACGATTCCTTTAAAAATCAAGATAACTCTATGGGTTAAGTGAAAATTTACACTGAAGAAAATTAAATACAGAAATATTCTGTTTCTAGCAGGTTTTCGTTACAGAACTGACTTATTCAATAAATATTAATTGAATTTCTCATTATATGTAAGATAATTTGCTACAGTATAATGGACATAGGAAATATGATGAAGAATAAATACTGCCCTCGTGAAGCCTGTATTACAGTATGGGAAACTAAAGAGGATAGCTCAAAGAAGTCCTATAGACACATAATACCTGGATTTTGTCATGGCTTTTGACAAAATTTCACATGCTATTTTTGTGGACAAGTTGCTCTGAAATTCTATGATTATTTATGATTAAGATGGAGAGATGTACAATGGATAACAGTGTAGTTGGGTCAACTTGGAACTGCTGAAACATTTACCCAAAGAGTCTAGAGATGGACCAATATCAACCTAGAAGGACATTACCTAGGCGAAATGCCCTGGAGAATCTGTCCTGGCTCTGTTTTATTTAATATTCTTATCAGTGACCTGAATGAAGACTAAGGTGACATTTATAAAATCTGAAGATGCTAGGAAGCTGAGAGAGATAGCTGCAGACAGAGTTAGGATCTAAAAAGATCTCAGTAGACTGGAAAGATGGGCCAAATATAACATGATGAAATTTAACAGCAATAAATGTGAAGTCTTGCATGTGGGTTTAAAATCAATCGTCTAAGTACAAGATGGAAGACATATCAGGTGGAACACCATTTATTTATTTGGTCATTTCATATTTGGTAAAAACAAACAAACAAACAAACAAACAAACCTCAACCAATCCAATTTAGAGGTTTTGTTGCATTCCAAAGTCAATCTGAGTGAAAAAGTATGACCTAGTATGTGTGACCTTGTCAAGCTACTTAATGTAATCTTAGGCTATAAGGACAGCTGAATAGTGTCCTGAATGAATATAGCGATGCTCCCTGGGGTACTGTTTGTTTCTGGGTGTCATGTTTTAGAAAGCTAGAGTAGGTTCATGTGGGCAACCAGGATGAAAAGGTGACCTCACATTCAAGCTAAAGGCCTCGCTGAAGGAAGCAGGGAAGTAGGCCTTTGTAAGAGAGTACTTGGCAACCCTGACTCTCACACTCTCTCAACCCTACCACCCGTATCCAATCAAGTTCTGTTGTTTCCATATTTGTAACATCTCTTGTGTATGCTCCCTTTTCTCCTTTGACACTGCGGCAACACAGGGTTCAGGCTCTCATCACTTCATGAATGGACTCTTGTGATAGAGGTAATGAGGTGGCATAGTGGATAAAGCATGAGACTCGGAGTCAAGAAGATCTGGGTTCAAATCTTACTTCAGATACCTAAAGGCCTTGTGACACTGGGAAAATCACTAAAATGTATCTAAACCTCAATTTTGTCATCTTTAAAATGAGGAAATAGCACCTCTACTTCACAAGGATGTTGTGAGGATCAGATGAGCTCTAATATGTGTAAAATGCTTTACAAACCTTAAAGTACTATTACATTCATGACAACCAGAGTGGCTAGAGTGCTGGACATGGAGTCAGCAGGACATGGGTTTTAATCTTGCTTCAGATATTGGTTAGCTCTGTGACACCGAGCAAGCTATGTACCCTCTCTGTTTCCTCACCTAGAAAATTTGGAATATTAATAACTCTCTAGCCAGCACCTCACAGCGTTCTTAGGAAGTTAAGATCAATTCAAATGCTTTCTAAATCTACAGTGCCATCCAAATGCAAAGTATAATAATTATTCACTCATACATTTAAATACTTATTAATTGCCTGTGTATGGAGCATTGTACCAGAAACAGAGGGGGAAATGGAGTTTAGAACATACCTTTTTTGCTCTAGCAGAAATGGCAATAAGAAAGAACAACAACAACAATAAGAACATTTATATAACAAATTAAGATTTGCAAAGTGATTCACATGTCATTTCCTTTGATCCTCACAACAAACAACCTTGTGAGATAACTGCTATTATTTTATCCATTTTATAGCAACTGAAACTGAAAGATCTTAAGTGACTGGTCCAGGATCACACAGCTAGTAAGTGTCTGAGGCCAGATTTGAACTCGGGTCTTCCAGACTCCAAGCACCACTCAATATTCTACCCTATAGAGAGATTTTTCTCACACTAAAACAACAGATGGCTGTAATATATCACTCTACATGATAACTTCTTTAGAGAGCTACAAGTCGAAGAGTTACAATTTTGGGCAGTGGCTGCCTTCTGAGCTGGGTTTTAAAGAACAGTTAGCAATTAAACAGAGGAAGATGCTAAAGGATCCTTCTAGCCACGGGGAGCAATGTGATCCAAAGGCATATAGCAGAGGGGAGAGGGAGATGGGAGAACAGTTCCATTTGGCTGGAGCCTGTAGCATATGGAGGGTAGTCATAAGAGATGGTGCTGGAAGAGTAGAATTCGTGCCTCTGGGGGAGAAGATGGGCTTACAATTACAAAGTCTTTTCTTTTGGCTTCTTTAGCTTGAAGACCTAAGCCTTTCTCAGAAGGGGCTTAGACAGATTTCTTCGACAATGAGGCTACTCTTCTAACTCATGACAAAGTAGAACCCCTCTTATCTTTGAAAATTATCTCCACAAAATCTCAAAGAGTAAAACATGATTAGTGGATAAGAGGTGAAACAATATTTTCTATTTTCAGGTGTTTCAAGTTTTGTAATTTAACTTGCAGGGGATTAAATATAGAGAAAACCGAAAGAAACAATTTCTGAGTGAATCTGATTCTACTATCGGGAGATCAGAGGTTTTTTTGTGCAGATCTAGATCAGATATATGATTTGGGGCAGGTTAACTAATGTCTATGAGCTATTACATTCATGTTAAAAAAAGTCAACTTAACAAATACAAGTGGGGAGGCATAGTTAGACAGCAGTCGTCTGAAAAAAAGCAGAAGATTTTGTTGGGTTGTAAGCACGCTTACCAATATAACACGGTAGCCAAAAAAAGCTAACACAATGTTTGGCTCCGATAAGAGAATCAGTTTCCAGGGATAAGGAGAGCTATTCTTGCTCTACTCTGTCCTGGAAAGACCATATCTGCAGTGTTGTGTTAAGTTCTGGGCACTACAGTTTGAGAAAGACATAAGATGGAGGAGGGCAACCAGGACAGTCAAATCCCTTAAGTCCATGCCATATGAGGATTGATTGAAGAACATGGAACCTAAGGAAGAGAAGACTAGGGCACTTGAGATGCTATGACATGGGAAAGATTTGTTTGGTTGGCCTCACAGGGCAAAATCAGGAACAATGAGTGGAAATTGCAGAGGTGATTTCAAAGAGATCAGAGAGGCTTGATGTCAAGAAAAACTTTCTATCTTATCTAAAAGCAAAATAGGCTGCCTCAGGAAATAATGAGTTCTTCATCATTTGAAGACTTCTAGTGAAGGATGGATAACTTCTTGATCCAGGATGTTATAGAGAGGACTCTTTTTCAGGCTTGGCTTGGAACAGATGTCTGTCTAGGTCCCTTCCAACCCTGAAATTATGTGATTCTGTGAAAATAGTACTTATTATTTAGCAGTAATAAAGAGTTCCACTATTAATTCATGGAAGGTATTTTGAAAAAATAGCATTCTAGTTGTTGATGTTACAACACCAATTTATTAAAAACCAAACATTCTTTGCCAGTTTATTATTGATTCAGTAATGTAATTTCAAAATTTGTTAAATATGTACACAATGAGAAATTATTATATTCCCACAGATTTATTATTTAAGAAGGAATATACAGAGAAAGTAGTTTGTGCTTCAGAACACCTCTTTTATCATTTCTCATAAAAATTTTAAAAAATGTTTCCATGCCACTTACATGATTACTTTGGAGATTTTCCAGTAATGATGAATCATTAAATATTTTTTCTTCTCCAGGCTGTGAGCCCTGCCTAATTTGGGAGTGGGAGAGGAGGAAAAAGAGAGAAAAATTGGTTCATTAGCATGAGCATGGAACTATTTGTCACTCACTGTTCCCAAGACAATTAACTAAACTTCTATATCCAAAAACATTTAATAAGGCAAATATGATACTTGTATCTAATGATAATATTACAATATTAACAAAAAGTTATTTGCATCAAGAATAAGTGTATTAGAACCCAATATATTCAATGTACTAAAACATGAGTCGTTTTTGTAATCTGATGAAGATGAAAAGTACTCTTGCAGCTGATTTTACAGGTATAAAATTATGCCTAAGCAACATAAAATATAACAAAAATTAAGTCATTTTTAATTATCAGTAAAGAAATATAGGTCCTGAAATACAGAATGGCATTTGTGGTGCTGATTTTCTTAGAGCTGCCTTATTTACTTATTGCATATATGTGTGTATATATACATACATATATATATGCATACACACATACATGGACATTTATATTTATATTTACATTGGTTCACTCATCTGATATGGAAACTAACTCCACTGATGTAGTTCAATAGCTCATCTGTAATTCATTCTCTTAGAGGATTGTTTGCCTGCTAAGGGTACTCTGAACAACTGGGTGATTGGTCTATGGTCACACAGCTAGTATATGCCAGAAGCAGTAACTGAACCTAGCACCAGCTTAAGGTTAGAGCCTGCACTTTTGTAAATCATTCTCTAATTAGGTTTAAAGTGAGAGAGCATGTAAACTTGTTTTCCTCCCTTGCATTATAACCATAAATTGTTCCATTTGCCTGTGCTCAGAGAGATGTTACCCATGAACATCCTCCTTTCATTTCTGACATTCATTTGCTCTACTTGAGATTGTTGTATGGATTCTTAATATTCTAGAATCACTATGAGACCCTCTGAAAACTGGGACTGGTTCCTAGATGTTTTAATAAAGTCTGGACAATGAGAGTGTCTTTATTCTATACCAGATGCATTTATTAGAAGGACAAAAAGCATCAATATTTTTCATTTTGTATTATTTGTTGATACATTCTACAAGGATCATATGATGGCAATTTCCTTATTTATTCATATTTGTCATTCTCTAAGGCCATATAGCATTTCACTGCACGTAAGGATGACAGTCCACCCAGTCATGTATAAGATCACAAAATTTAAAGCTGAAAAAGACTTTAAGAGAAAATTGAGCCTTCTCAGATATTGAGGCCCAGAGAACTTAGGTGATATGCCTAATGTCACACAGGAAGCTAGTGGCTGAGTGAGGTGTTTGGAATCAGCTCCTTCCACAGGAAGAGAAGAAAGCTGCTTAACTAAAGCTTTGAGCAAATAGTTAAGTCTTTATACATTATATATGATTTTGCCTGTATGAAGACAGCAAGACACTTAGAAACAAATGAAAATTTTGTTATGGGAACTTTCTCCATGTTAGCTATTAAGAAAAAAAAAACAGGACCTTTGATTTCATCAGAATAGAGGAATTTCTTTTACCAAAGCCCATTGAAACCTGTTTAGCAACTTAGTGTTAGAGAATTGCTTGTGGGCTCAGGGTTATAGAACTAGTATGTTTGTGTCAGAGGTGGTACTTGGACTCAGATCTATCTGATTCTGAGGCCAGTTCTCTTTTCACTATGCCATGCTTACTCTCAAATGTGTATTGTACATAAACCAAATGTGACCAATGGAGGATTCCCAAGATGATCTGCTTTTATACACACTGACATACAACAGAGATAGAATTAAATTTTGATATTCAAAGAAAAAAAAATTGAATAAAGGATGGCAAACCATAAAAGCATATAGTTTATTGTTCATTTAAAACCGACAATTTATCTATTCTCTTCAAATGAGAGGAACAAATCCTGAAAGTAATAGGTCTTTCCCTGAAAACATCATGATGTGTCTCCAGGACCAAATAATTTAAATCTAGAAACTATGAGCAAGAATGTTTGATTTAAAATTTTTTTTCTGCTAGTTCTGCTCTCCCTGCAACTGGAAAAGAAAAAAAAAAAGAAAAATCAAAACTCTTGTAATAAAGATGTCTAACCAATGAAAACAAAACCACATATTGGCCATGACCAAAACAATGAATCTCATTTTATACTGTAAAAACAGGAGCTCTCTGTCAGATGGCAGAGAATATATTTTATCATCAGTCCTCTAGAACTGAGGTTGTTCTTTTTCATTGATCAAATTTCTTATTCTCCTAACTCTACTCCTTTCATGCTGCATCAGTTTATACAAGATTTCCCAGGCTGACATGGAACTGTCCTTTTTTATCATTACTTATTATTCAATAAAATTCCATTACATGATATACTATTTGTTGAATCTTCCCTAACTCACGGGCATCTCCTCATTTCTAGTTTTTGGCTATAACAAAATACAGTTGCTATAAATATTTTGTACCTTTGAGTCTCTTCCCTCTTTCTTTGATATTGTGGAGGCATAGACTTAGCAGTGGTATGACTGGGTCAAAAGATAGACACAGTATAATAACTTTGGCAGTATAGTTGCAAATTGCTTTCCAGAAATGCTAGACCAGGTCAAGCTTCACCAGTAACTCCTTAGTGTGCCTTTCTTACCATAACCCCTCCAACAAATGCTATTTTCCTTTTTTTCTATCATTTTGGGTGTGAGATATAACCTTGAATTTATATCTTCATAAGTGATTTGAAGCATTTTTCCAATATGGTTATTGATAGCTTGAATTTATTCCTTTGGTTATCAGACCTTTAACAAAGAAACTGCCTGCAAATTATTTTTTCCCAGTGAATTGTTTCCTTTTTAATTTCAACTTTAGTAGCATCTATGTCATAGAAAGAATAACAGTGGAATAGAGAGGAATCCATAGGGGAAAAAATTACAGGAAGAAAGGCAGAAATGATTCTCATGGTCTCAGATGACCATACACTAATCCGAAGAAAATGCATAAAGGGGATCATAGATCTTTATTCCAGGAGTAAAATACAACCCTACAAGCATCATTAAAACTTGGTAGAATGCAGCACTGAAAGCATACACTTTTTTATAAAAGGAACAGAAAGAACATTTAGCAAAGTATCATTGTATAGTAAGAAGATATAGATATGTGTAGGAATTCATGAACCTGCAGGAGGGGAAGTATGATGGAGGATATTTGAATAAGGTTAAAAAGAGAGAAATAGAAGCAATAATATGATTAGAGCACACCATAGAGATCAATGTGGCAGATGGACGAAATGAATGTTAAATGCTGTACTCAGATCTCAGAATTGGGATAAAGATGGAATAAAATTCAAAAAGAAGACTTGGACTATCTGGAAGCCTCTCTCTGCTAAGAATATAACAAACACTCAGCAAGTTCTTGCTTGCCTTGATGATAATTTCATCTCTTAGTAGTCAGAAGCAACAAAATAAATTGCTATCTTGAATCTGATTCTGACCAAGGAGGAATTGGTTACTGAAGTTGAGGTTACAAGAATCTTAGGAAAAAGTGATGAAGTCTAGAAACCCATGCAGAGACTCACCCATATTCCAGACATTCATAGAGAGGATTTCAAAATTCAGAGAAAAACTGTGTAGAATCCTATGGTCTAAAAGTCTAAAAGGAAAAGTCAATTTAAGAGGACTGGAAGATGTCAAGAACAAAATTCTGACAACACAGTCCCAAATTATTTTGATGAAGAAAATGGGGGGTTATCTATGCATAAAAAAATCAATGTGGCTGTATAGGAAATTCATTGGCATGTTAAGGTTTTAAAAAGATATGCACAAGAGATGGAAGTGAAGGCATATAACTCAGGATGGATCCAAGTGTTTCATAATTCTATCAATATGGCCTCATGAAGGACAAGTCAGAGTATGAGTAGAGGCTTCTCATAAATGCTAAAGACAATAAAAAAGGCTTACATTAAAACCTATGTTGAGAGCAGGAAGATGAACAAGGAAAGAATAGGATCATGGGATGGGTTCAACACCAGCCGTAGAAATACAGTGTGGCACAGTAGATAAAGTCCTGGCCTTGCAGGGTAGAATACCTGGATTCAAATCTTTGACACTTAATAGCCATATGACTACTAAGAGACTATTTAAGCTATCTAAGCCTCAGTTTCCCTATCTGTAATAATATATGTATTATCTACCTTACAAGGGCAGCTAGACAGTGCAATTGATAGGGTGCTGGGCCTGGAGTCAGGAAGACTCCTTTTCCTCAATTCAAATCTGGCCTCAAATACTTACTAGCTGCATGACCTTGGGCAAATCACTTAACCCTATTTGCTTCAGCTTCCTCATGTGTAAAATGAGCTGGAGAAGGAAATGGTAAGCCACTCCAGTATCTTTGCCAAGAACATCCTAAATGGAATCATGAAGAGTCAGACATGACTGAAATGATTGATCAACAACAATAAAATCTCACTTATAGGGTTATTATGAAGGTCAAATGAGATAATGTATAAATTATGTAGGCTTCACAAATTTTAGAGCATTATATGAATGTTAGTTATCATTACTACTGCCTGACACAAAAAATGTTTCATGGGTCAGGGTCAAAATGCTCTGTATTATTCTGTTCCACATTTTTTATCCATGACTTAGATGACAACATAGGCAACACAATTATTAAAATTTTAAAAATATATATGATAACAATATTGGATTCCAAAAGAAATTTAGAAAAATGAGCCAAATCTAAAAGGATGAAGTTTAATAAAGATAAATGTAATCATGCAATTGGATTAAAAAAAATCAAGTGCATAATTTCAGGAGATGTGGCTAGATGGCAGTTTCACATGAAACAGACTTGTGGATTGAGTGGTCTGGAAAGTCTAAATGAATTAATAGTGTGATTTAATAGCCAAATGAACCCAATATAATATTACACTAAATGAAGAAAGATCTAGGGTATGAAAAAAAGATGATAACTGTATTATATTCTGTTTGGAGTACTGTGGTCCATTATAGGTACTACATTTTAAGAAGGATATTAACAAGTTGAAAAGGTTCCAAAAG